ATCCCACAGAGGAGTAAATTGGTGTTGTCCTTATAAGACTGAACAGCAAGGACATCATGAGTGAGGAAGAGAGGTTGACTGCTGGTGCAATGATGTGGAAAGTTTCTACAATGTCAGACATACCTCTAGCTTAACACCCTCAGGAACAGGAGTGATGAGGTAGTTTCCATATCCTTCAGGCTGGAAATCTGTYGGAACACGAACAGTAAGAGCATGGCAACCTTTCCGGCTCTGGCTGTTGCGGACAAAAAATGACCCTTCTTCAGAGGTCTGCAGCATGTCCATGATGAATTCCCTGTGAATAAAAAGATTCAAATATGTCATGGYACAAAATACAGTATGTCTGTCTAAAAATTGAAAAATGTTAAGGTGGGATAATGGAAATGTTGATAATAAAGATGACTCTGCAAAGTATTCTAAAACGACAATAATGAGATGGAAATAGTATAGTCGGTAATAACAATGCCTGAACGAACTTATTTTTGTTATGCAAAGCTTTCCCATTTCATATCACATCATTCCTTAGAGAATAAGAATCTTATTATTAGTTTGAGTTGTATCCATATTCATGTTTCTTCTCATGCACAACCGTAAAACAAAGGAATGACACATGGTCTGAAATGGGAAAACATTTTACACAACAAATAAGGTCTATTGTAACAGTGATGATATATCGACTTGCTGGGTAGTAGCCAGGATGTTTGGAAGGGGGGTGGGGTGCCAAGTGCTGGCATTGCGTTTCAAGTTTATTGTGTTTCAATAGGCTTTCACTGRTTGGTACATAAAATTTGTTCCAAATAAATATACATAAATTTAAAAAGMCACCATTTTGTTACCATGAAGGGGGGGAAAGGGGCCCTGCCTACATCCCTGACTTGCCTACGAACCTTGGAATACCAGGCATGTACCAATAAGCATCTTGATGTGTAGTAAGCCGGTCAGCTGACTCAATGTTTTCACTTGTCGTACCATTGCTGTMTGCCTCAGCATATGTGTCTTCTGCCCCCTCCTGTTCCTCATCACCACTGGTATTTCCCATGTTAATATTTCGATCCTTTATCACACCTGATGCCTCATCTGGGACAGCAGCAATAGCCTCATTACTCTCAGGGGCTGGATCATCCATAACRTATTGAGTGACAGGTCGTTTTGGTTTTGTACTCCGTGGAGGTAAAGGAGGTCCTGGGATACTAGTCAGTGGAGACTGACCCCCTTCAGACTTCCGTTCAGGTGGAGTCCTAGGCTTTGATACTCTATGTGGTGAATAAGGTAGTGGTGTAGAGTTAACTGAGGATGACTGAGATTCAAACTGTCTCGTAACATGTGTTTCTGATACGATGGTTCTTGTTTCACTATTTTCTGYCATGTATGATCTTTCAGATACCGTACTACTGGAACTTGAAATGGACATGGATRAAATGCTATCAGAGACATCATCATTTGGAAACACAGATGATGTCATCACTGAATATTCTTTTAATCTCTCGTGGGGGGATGGAGTACTGGAGTTACCACCCCTCCAACCACCCTTCCCTATTTTACTTTTCTCCAAAGCTGGACTGCTATCTGTTTCAGTGACGGGACTAATAGTGCGTTTTACTTTCAAATCTCTTTTCCTGCCCTTGGCTTGTTCTGCGTGTTCTGAAAGGTCATGACCTCTAACTGCTTCATGTTTTGCCTGGGAAAGAAAATATACAAGTATGAACTGTTGGTTGCATCAATGTYGGAGTGTGTAATACAAATGTGCCACAAGAAAGATGCAGAGCACGGGTTGCATGTAGACTTTCGCAAAGTCCATCCTCTCCTGACATATAATTATTAGTTCTTGCTCACTGAATAAAGCCAGGCAGCCCAACCAGGAACATGCATGCTTAATGCGAATTTTGCTTTTTTTTTTCACTTGCTTGGCTTATGACTCTGCGAGTCTCCAAGAGCTTGGCTTAGAGCAAGTGTAAGTTGCAGGAAGTTGTGACTAAGTTACAATGCTACATTGGACCCTCAAATTACAGGAGAGAACCAACAAACAACTCTAGATACATGTGACACCGAGCCCGTGAATGGAACTCTGGTTGCATTGGTGAGAGGCAATGCATTAGCAGCAGGCACCACCAGTGCTCCCCTAAATAGTGACTCCTGCTTTGTTATCAATACTTTGCAGCTCTTTAACCATTGCATCAATATAGAGTGCCATACAAAAACGTGACATATTTTTAGGAGCTCCTGTCATTCTATCCCCAGAACCTCTGTTTCTCTTGGAAAGCACCAAGAAGGGAGTGCTCAGTGCTGACCAAGAAGAACATGCGCTCTGGGTTTCGATGACATTGGAGCTCTGTCAAAGATGTGTGGCTTCAGCAAATGTTACCATTAGTACATGTTCAACCTACAAATTAGCTATATGGCATCATTCAGCCACCTTACCCATCTTCTTGCTGGTTTATGTGGACAGGACACCAGGTCACCTGTGTTATATCTAGGATTCTTCTGTAGTTTTGCTGAAGCGAATGCTAATTTGAAGGCTCTTCCGATCATTGCCGTTAATTCTTGCACCTGATAAAAAGACAAYGTTTTTGATTTTAATGTTCTGGGCGCAGCTCATTGCATATTCTATTTTTTTGTTTAATCTACTAAGCTATAGCTGTTCAATCACAGGGTGAAGCAATCACGACAGAGCTAGGCTCTAAATTAGGTGAAAGTCCAAATATCGAATTAGAATTTAAAAGTTGATTTTTGAGGAGGGAGGAAAACTGGAGAATGAGAAGAAAGACCCTCAAAACATAGGAGAGAAACAAACAACTCTATTAACACATGACACTGAGATGTATGTAGTGTATTAAATATATGTAGTATTAATACATAATATGGTGATGAAACCACCCACCTGTGTTGAAGACCGACCTACGAAGACGTGGCCATGGACTGCCACACCCATGGGGGTAGGACTATTTGTCATGAATGCRTAAAGCTTGAAATCTGGATCACATGTTGCAAAGGTAATTCTCTGCAAAGGATATGCCATTCTGACTCTCTGCAATGAAAAAAAARGGATTGACAAAAAAATCATAACCCCAAAAATATATAATATGTTTCTTTAAACCTGAAAGGGGTGGGGTGGCTGTGGCTTATTACACCACCCCTTGGCCTCATCCTGCTTTCTCCACATAAGAGCATTATATGCAAGCAATAATATGGAAAATAATCCTCTCTTGAGGAAGATCAGATACGATACTATATAAACCTTAAGCAAAATGCCCAGCAAGTAAAGGCAAAGATTTGATCAGACAAGTTTCAAAGACATTTTTTCCCAGACATTGTCAAATGACTGACCATTATTTTTAGTTCCGGGCCAGTTATATGAAGATTGAATAGAGCAATATACGTGGATAAATCCTTATCCAGGAAATAYGTCAATCTTGTTATTTAATAAATTTATTCACTGGATAAGATTAAGTGCTATCCACCCTTCGTACAACTGGGCCCTGCACTCTGATGCCACACCCATATCTGAACAACAAACAACACTCAAATTAAAAAAAGGTCTGATATGGGTATTTGTATAGGAAATCGCATGATTTCGAGTACAATTTGATCGTTCATCTTTGTCTATTTGGCAGCCGATTTTCAGTCCATCACGCAACTGAAATGCATKWARAAGATTAGTTCTTACGGCTTTAAAATCTTATTTACGGAGTACAATTAACGCTATAATTGTACTCCTGTCGACCAATCAGAGTCGAGTAATTTTGTTGAGTGTATTATAAGGAAATTAATAGACACGAGTAATGTTTTGAAAGTTCTTGCAATTGCACGAGCCTTTAGGCGAATACACTACGAGTGTCTATTAATTCCAAATTGTACRAGAAGATCRTGCAATTTTTTGTTTATAGTTCACTTAGCATATGATTGTCTAACAACAAGAAAAGCATGTTGTTACAGTGCAACGTACGTGCCTAACCATGGCCATGCACCCAACTTATTTTTGTACCAGTTAGCCAATTCAATAAGACAGCAAGAATTTGTGCATTTTCAAGTGAAATCACTCAGTGTGACTGCAAATATTTAATTAAATAATTATTCCATACTCTGTGGCAAAAAAATAAAATAAATGGCTAGGAATTTGCATAGGTGATACCTATTTTAGTCCCTTCAAATTAAAGGCTAGCACTGGACTCTTTCGTAAAACATCTTCTAAGTTGATGAAACTCTTTGATTCAAGRATTCAACGACATTAGTAAAAAATAAGTTGGGTGGCCACTGTTAGATGTGCYGCACTGTAAGATTTTTTGTTACTTATTCTCAAGTGCATGCCTTTGAATCAGAACTTAAAACTTTGATTCCATCTGAAGAGGTCTGCAAAACCACATCTACTCCATTGGACTTGTGCTGATGACCAAGAAAATGAATAGCTTAGAAACATAATTCATTAAAAGCACTTGAATCATATCGCACTAATGCAAATTAGATACTATAAAATCTTGGGAWGAGAGGAAAATGGACTTCTGCAACCAGGGGGTTAGGAGAATTACAGAMCATTTTATGTTTCTGCGACCTAAACCACTTCAGATGTCTGGCATTTTGGCTACGGTCAATCAAATTTGTGACGGACAGATAGCAATAAATATTCTCACTACCCGACAGTCTATACATTTCTCCTGGAAAATGGCTGTCAAGTGTAGTGGGAATATCACTCTTCATTGGAATGACTAGGAATGCACTTGGCCTTTTGTAAAGTTGATTGATGGTAACCAAAACGCCACAGGTATGGATTCAATTAGGTTGCAGAAACATGAAATAGGCTGTAAATAGAATGAGGCATACTTCTAGTCAATTTAGAACCTGCAAAGCYAGTTTTTACCTCATCACTTGGCATGGGAAGCTCATATCAGGGGCTAAAATTTCTAAGTATATTGTTAGTAACAGTGACCCCTATTTTCCCCAAATTCCTGGGAATGCTTTCTTAATAGTCCATCCCCTTCAAATATTCCTGGATCTGTCCTTGCATATATACCTACCCTATATTCACTGAGGTGGTATTTCATATAACTTGTTCTTTCCTGGTGAGTCTTTAACGTCTTATGACCATCAGTACCAGTTATGATGGCAAAGGTCCCAACATACTGTCATTAGAAAACATTAGGTAATTTATAATCATCATTTCATTATTTACATGTAAGCCAGGATCTTATACAGTTAAATGTATCTGCGACTCAGCCTTAACTGCGTGAAATTTTAAATCCAGGTTGCCAAAACCTACTAAATGAGCTAGCCAGAGACTTGACTTGATGGTTGCTGTACGTATTCCATGATGTTCACAACCATACATGTCAGAATAATATATCCTACACATTTTGTGGCTGGTTCTAGAAGGGGAGGTGTAGGGAGTGTATAAATATAGGGAACATAAAACGTGCATACATCATGTTTCTGTGTGTCATTCATATGCATATTATTGTGTGGGTAGTAGCGATTTTTCTAGCTTATTCTTAAAGTTCAAACTATCAAATCATTAAGAACTTGCCTAGAGACATRATCACAAAACTTATGTTACTTAATACGTCATGCAGTATTGTCTTCCAAGTACGGTTTTATTGTTCACAATCAAGTGTTCTTGAAAATATTAATCATCTTAAAGTGGTCTCTAGTGACACATTAAGCATGTGTCGTTAACATAAGTAAGTTTAATATTAAGTCTTCGTGGTCGGACTTGAGTCTGATTTTATTTTTTGCTAGACAGCGTTTTGATCATGGGAAATTGTATGGATGGGAATAAAAATTTCAAAATCAATTTGTCAGAGTAAAAGAGGCAATCGCAAATAAACAATACTATTAGTATATTAAAATGGCCATGCATATGAGCAAAGGCACGAATTATTAGGCAATAGGGTGCTAAAACTAACAAGCTACTGCCAATAACCTGATTATAAAAATGTAAATGAAAGTTCAACTATTGTGTGGGAATGTTTAACTCCACATAAATATGAAGAAAATGAGATTTCCAATTCGTAAAAAAAAAATTATCTTTTCAATAAGCTTGAATAAACAAATTGCAAAGGAATCTRGTTTGTCTTTGACATTAATTTTTAGGTAAAACATCTTTAGGTAAGACGTCAATGAAGTTTTTATAGTCATTATATATATACCTTGCATTTCTGTCTGGGACCAAGTAGAGTACCATCACTCTCGATCGGTTGAAGACCGACAAAACCATTTTCGTCAAAACCGTCTGTACTATCATCGAGATCGTCGGTCGAATCTTGCGCCGGAGGCGACGAAGAACCTTTCTTGGCCAAATTTCTCGAATTATTCGCGGCTTCATCACGCTTTTTKTTCTTTTTCTTCCTAAACATCCTTTCTACGATGTATTTTAACCACAAGGTTAAGCCGAGATCAAATATTACTGTTTAGCTCGCTCCCTGGGGATACTATTAGCTGCACTCTTTTCGAAATATGCTAAATCATGCACGTTGTTCATTATTATTAAAAATTTTCTTCACTTCCTGTCGGTATTATTTCCCCTCGAAGTTAGAGCTCGTTCGCTTCCGGCCGCGGAGGGAGACTGAAGCGAGGGATTTTAAGGTGATCGCCTACTTTTGGAAATTGATTTAAACTTTTTTTAAAACTTCAATTTTCCGGATTGAAATTTAATGCTGATTCCAAATCTGGAAAGAAAAATAGGCTGTCCCGAGCTCGTTTTCGAGAAGCCTACACACGAGCTTTTGGAGTAAAAATTGCGCCACCGGAAGTGATAAGAAAAAAATTAAGATTAATAAGATAATAGTTATTTGCAGACTATATGATTGCACGAATGAAGGCTAGTCAATCATTCTACAATAATACATGGATATTTTCGACAAAAAGACAGAGATACATTGATTTATTAAATTTTGTAGTTTCGGTGCTCTTAAAAAATCTCATAAAGTCAAACAAAAATCCCTACAAAAATCTATTTTTTCACGTGTTTCTGATTTAAACTTTTCCTAAAATATTGATATAACCATAATTTTTAGGAGTTTTTTCGAATGAGCTATCAAAAAATATAGAGTCCCGTGTAAAATTAGAGGGTTTTGCCTTGTTGAAGCTCAAAACGTGTATGGTTCTTCAATAAAATCTTGTAGATTTTTCAGCGGTTTTTGAGCGCGCGCTCATCGTGGGCTCAATTCGAACGTTCAAAAGTAGGCAGCTACCTTAAAATGATTTCAGATGTTATTTTTTATTTTATATTAGAGTTACAACCTTTATAAGGCGTAAAATCATAACTAAATTAAAGTCTAACTACCCATTATGGCTGCATTAAATTTGACTTTTTGAATTTTTAATCATATCCTCTTTGTAATCTCTACCAAATCCTGCAATCTGATTGGTTCAAAGGAGTGCGATTAATTCCCAAATCGCATCCTTAGGAGCTCTTAATCTTAATCGCATCTTTTTGAAAGAACCAATCACAGAACAGAATTCTTATATTCAGTTAATCAGAGAAGAGAATGAAACAAGCCTTTTCAACGCATTTGCAAAGTGTTTTTCTCTGTGAATTTGGACATTTTCACACTTTTTTGATAGATCTTGTATTACAAAATTGCACTCCGCTCAGTTCAATTACCATCATTGAATATTTTTGCATTTGCAAAATATGAGTGCATTAATTTTCACAATTCATATAGAGAATCGACATTGAAATTTAGCAGAATTAAATGAAAATTGACCAAAATAAACTAAATACCAAAGATAGCAAAATATAGCAAAATATAGCAAATGATGGGAAAGATTATATAACAAGAGATACTGTTTATGTCACCAATCAAGTACTTACCTTGGAATTCGTGTCAGTAAAATTCAAAATGGCAGCCATCAGTGGACTAAGAGCAATACGCTCTGTACAACTAAGGCCAGCTATGGCATTAATGAAGGTACTACCTTTAAATTTAATAATAATGAATCATAAAGAATCCTCTTTTACCTTTTCTCCCCGCGTTGTGACTTATTACGTTACTTTTCGTAGTAATATTCCTCTGAACTTTTGCCAGAGCAGACTTGGAGAATAAGGTTGCATAACTAAAAATATTTTTACATTTTTATTTTCTATTTTGTGCTACTTATTGATAATTTGCAAAAGAAAACGGTTATCTACATTAATTTTGGCACTTTTGGTTTTCATTATAAGATTATTTGCCTTATTCCTTGTAGTTTTAGAGTCATTTTAAAAGCACTATCGATTGTTTCTGTTGCATAAGCCTCTAGCTGCACTGCACTGAAAAGATTAATTGTACGTGAATTAATGCACGTTTCTTTTGCAAAAGGTTACTTAATCATAAGTGCCACTGCCTGTACTTTTTTTTAGGTGAGGAGTACTAATATAATATAAATGGTTGTTAATAACTTTAATGTTTGATAGTTTCAGACACGAGATGCAACCTCGGCAGCAACAGCTGATGAACCTCGTAATAAAACATTTTCCATCTATCGCTGGGTAAGATATTACAAAGATTACTATTTATGAAGTATTAGAATTAATATGAAAAGTTTATRATGTATTTGTTAAAGTAGGCGAAACTTTGGGCTGTGATGAATGATACTTTTAAATGATGATGATTAATGACAAGGATGATTATGACGGTGATGATTTGTGAAAGGATGCTTAGTACTTCTTAGACCAATTTGGCTAATGCAATTAATGATAAATGCTTTTACCCAATTTCTACTGGGATACTCTTTTTCGTCCATTATGTTTCATATGTCAATGAAGCATTGCTATAGATATATGCATAAATAATATATTAGACAAAGAAAAGTATTCCCAGTAGATTTGAATTGGGTAAAACATTGCGTTAGCCGAAAAGGAGTTATATTCTCCTTTGAAGATTCTTCATAGTGACCCAGAAATCATTTTCATGAATGAGCCCTCCTTCTGCACTGAATGAATCTTCACAGGTGAAAATAGCTGTTCTTCTTTTCTGTTAATGAAATGAATACAAAATGCAGTACAATATAAAAACATGCTGTCCAAATTGAAAATCTATCTGACCAGCAAACAGAAAGTTATAGGTTCCAATCAGGATTTTYCCCCCAGTAAAAATTAGCTAGATGAAACATCTAATGAAAATCTGACTGTCAATCCCGGGGGGGTACTCTTGCCTGTTTAGGGTAGGGATGTGCCGCTGAGCCCTCTGAACCCTGACCCTGTTCCAGAGTAAAATCGCTGAAATTCATACCCTGTTCCAGAGCGAGATCACTGAAAACCATACCCACTTTCTGTATTGTGAAAATAGATACCCTGTTCCAGAGAGGAGAGAGCGTGATTTCATATACCCTGTCCCAGAGCGAGTGTGATTTTATATACCCTGTTCCAGAGTAAAATCGCTGAAAACCATACCCTGTTTGGCGGCACGTTCCTGTATAGTGAATATAGGGGAGTACACCCCCCCCCCCCTCCCCAGGGCTGTCAATAATGGGACTGGTCCTAGGCCAATAGATGTCTTTACCTTCGTATGCTAGTTGCCCATTTCAGATCACATGATATTCCCTTGAGAATTGTACTTTTATGACAAACATGTTGAAATATTTACACATGAAAGAATCAACTCCCAAGAGTGGCATCATATGGCTCTGAAATGTGCACAACAAACAACAAAGCTAATCAGGTCTATTGGCATCAAGTCAGAGAAATTTCTTTAGTTCAATATTAAAAAGTGCCTTTCATGTAACAAAGGGCCCAGGCGTCCCATAGTGGTGGTGAAAATTCATTATTGATAGTATAATTGTGATTCAGAACCCAGACAAGCCAGGTGATAAGCCAACAATGCAAGACTATCAAGTGAATCTGAATGAGTAAGAGATAAAATTAGCTGTATTCAATGCTTTGACTATAATTATTATTAGCCCTTGCAAAATATTCTTTGTTTAACAATTGCACATTAGAAAAGCCATAAAAACGGATAAAATTTTATCAAAGAATCTTATTCTCTAGCTACAGCTGTAGGGAATGACATGGTTCTAAAATGGGTACCAAAAACATTACACCAAGACGAATTAGGTCTATTTTGAGGACAAAACAAATGGAATTGGTTCTTTTGAAAATTAATTAAAACTCATTATTATATTATCCAAGTGGGGCTGTGAAAAATCTACACCTATTTTTAAAAAATGCTGTTGGATGGAGAAATGAAATATGAAATCTGAGGCATGAACTGAATTGTCAATTGTAAGCCTTTCACATGCTTACAGTTTGACCTCGTTGAGCTGCAACACTGCTGTGCTTGCAGTGGTGATAAGCGATGACAAGTTTGTTTTTTTTTCCCATGAGGTAATATGAATAATTTCTGGAATTACACATTATGAGAATGTATTTATTTTAATGGTACATGTTTGARTATGCCAAAAAACTCTTCCATATGTTTACCTGTAGCTGTGGTCCTATGGTCCTGGATGCTCTTATCAAAATCAAGAATGAAATAGATCCAACACTAACCTTCAGACGATCATGCAGAGAGGGTGAGTAAACTCTTTTCATATCTGCTTAAGGAAATGCACAAGTAATACAGTCAAAGGACATGCAACAAGCCTCCCTAAGACTGCATTATTCAGTTGTTGTTGTTTTTTTTGTTTTTTTTCCCCAATTTGTTATTTGTTTTCAATGTTCCATTAATGTATTTAAAAATAAATTCAAATCTTGTACTTTATGGTGTGTTTCCTGTTTCTGCAACGTAAATGAGATTATTTTACATTTTTTATTGTTATGTGCTGATCAAGACATCAGTCACAACAGGAAAACTGGGCAATAGAATGCCCCCAATCAAAAAACTTGTTTGGTACCTTTAAATACTCTGATTGACGGCAGTGTCTCACCCAATTTCCCTGTCATGACTGTTGTCTTGTTCAGTGCGTAGTAAAAGAAAATAGTGGTAAATATCTGAGTCTAGCCTTCCTTGGGGTACATATGGATGCACAAGACATAGCTGTTGCTTGCCATTATGTGTAACTATTTAATTATTCTTTATCTTGTGCAGGTATTTGTGGTTCCTGTGCCATGAATATTGGTGGAAGCAACACTTTGGCCTGCATTCAGTAAGTTATCAGACTTTACTTCTAGGTACTTGGGCTTCCTGGAATGCCCAAGCTATGAAATGACATTACTTTTTTCATTTTTTTACTACACTGTACATGTATCCATCGCAAATCACCATTTGGTGTCCAGGGTGAATGGGGTTTGCAATCTTTGCAATGATGGTAAAGCTAATGATAACAAAGTCTTGCAGTGCACACCAAAGCCTAGAAACAAGCCTTGAAGCCCAAGTTCCAAATTTTAGTTAATATTGAAATACAAGTAGTCTTCATTACAATTTGAGTAATATTTCAAGCATTCTATTGTGCTCCAGCCATACTATGTGTAGTACGTGTACATGTAATGCTTATTGTTATTCTATTTATTGCCTAGGCGTATAGACCCCAGGACTGACAAGAAGACCAAGATATACCCATTACCACACATGTATGTGGTCAAAGACTTGGTTCCTGTGAGTACTTTACATTTAACATTAAATGAATACAGGGGCAGATTTGGGGGTGGGCCAACAGGGCCGCGACCCCTCCCTTTTAAGTTATATATTTTCTTTAAACTTGGCAAAAATTGTATTTGCATATGGTCTTGAAGGTTTTCTTGGAGTTTTCTGGCCTACCCTTTCTTTGATTCCTTGATCTGCCCCTTCATATACATAAATATATGTGAATGGATGAGTGGCTAGTTCCCTTCATTTGCAACTGGGTGCAAACACCAGGTATCAATGTTCAAACTGGCTTCTAAAACTTGTACACTGTCTGTTTTTTAGCCAATYGAAATTAGTGAACGTTTGTCAATTTCAAAGGCGGTCAAAGGCCAACAAAAATACAAGTTTCAGAAGTCAGAATATGTTTTGATTTAAAGATGTTCACAACTGAATAAAAGGGAATGAAAAGTAATGTTAAAGGTGATCAAATAAAATATAAATAAATAAATATCTTTATTTAAGTGTCTAGTTGTTCTAGTTCTTTCACGCTCATTGGGGACACATTTTGCTCACACGCACTACCACTACATACAATGTTCTATGCACACAACACTCAACTCACATGTTGATTGAAATCTATTCATTTCTTTTTTTCAGGACATGCAAAACTTTTATGATCAATATACCTCCATCAAGCCATACTTGATGAAGAAAGAAAAGGTTGAGTATGGAAAAGAGCAGTACTTACAGTCCATTGCTGACAGAAAGAAACTGGTAAGCCCACAGTCATGCAAACCACTAAATACATCTGCTGGAGATTTTTGTTGTTGAATGTTTGAGAAATGCCTCTTTAAAAAATCAACTGATACCAGATCAGTGAAAACAGTGAACAATTGATTTAGTAACTGCTATTTTCATAAACATGTGAACTTGGTAGCTGTGAGCTGCATGAACTAATGGGCTATTGCATAAAATTTTCGTTCCCCCCCCCCGTTGAGGACCTAAGTTGTTAAGAACCCTCAAAGAAATTCCTAGAGACATGAAGATTTCTGTGGAATTCTCTGCTGTTCATGACTTACCCCTGAAGAATATGGGTGAAATCATAAAAAATATGTATATATAACCCTGACCCCCAAAGAATTCCAGCCCAAAAGCATCCCTGACCCCTGCAGAATTCCATCACAAAACCACCCTCGTCCCCTGAAGAATTCCACTGTCCTCAACGGGGGGTACGAAAATTTAATGCAATAGCCAAATACAAGATCAGTGAAAATAGTGAACAATTGATTTTCCTTTAGTTACTGCTATTTTCATAAACATGCGAACTAGGTGGCTGCAAGCTGCACGCTAAAATTTGTTTTTTCCTCTGCTGCCAGTCAAAACTATGCAAGGTTCCAACTGATTAGTTTAGATTGACTGCAGCGAAAGACAAACTTTCAGCTTGCAGCTCACAGCTATGGAGTTTGCATTTTATGAAAAACGCTTATAAGTTTTAGTCCAGATATATTTATCTGTGAATTATTAATACCAGATACATTTGGTTTCCTTTCTTCAAAGTTAATTTAATTTATACAATCCAAAATATCAAGACTTGGGTTACTTTCATCATTGGATGACAACTCCTCAAAATAAAAGTGATTTCTTGAAAAGTTTCTCATTTTTTAGGTTAATAGTAGTTGCAATTGTAAAATGAAGGAAGCTTTTAAAGCACAGTTTTACAGATTGCATTTCCCCCTAACAAGTTGCTTGTACCTTTTTGTGGACAGGATGGTCTATATGAGTGCATTATGTGTGCCTGTTGTAGCACATCTTGCCCTAGTTACTGGTGGAATGGAGACAAATATCTAGGACCAGCGGTTCTTCAACAGGCCTATCGATGGATCTTGGACAGCAGGGTAAGTACTTATATCTGCCTGAATAAAGTCTGGAAAACCGTATTTCATCAACCCTAGCTGATATATTACAGGGAATCTGTGTGGACGCAGCTGTCTGTTTCAAGTTGTTAAAATGTTTTCCTTTGCTTTGCCAGTCAATACTTACGTTCCAAAGTCAATACTTACGTTCCAAAGTCAATTTTGTTTTGTTACCTAGTCAATTAGAGTGATTTTCATAAACCCTTGAAATAGATGTTAGTATAATAATCATTGACAAAAAAACTAGTACGAGTTATAACTCATTAGACTTTAAACAGTGAAGTACTGTAATAAAGCACAGTCAATATAAGCTTTCACCGGATATTTTAATTGTCTCACTAATAACTGCTATTACACATTATTATGTAATGTGTCCTATGTAGATTAGTGTTTTAAAGATGGTCCTTTTTCTTTTTACTTTGTAGGATGACTATGCCGAAGAGAGATTAGCAGAACTTGGCTCTGATAACTACAAAGTCTATCGCTGCCACACCATCATGAATTGTACTAAAGCCTGTCCCAAGGTAAGAAATGGCTAGTAATACTCTATAAGAACTTGTGCATGATTCTTCAGGAACCACAGGGCACATTTTGTATTGGGGGGGCTATCGACTGCCAAAGGTGGGAGCACCTAGAGGAGGTCTGGGGGCATGCCCCCCCCCCTGGAAATTTTGAAATGACAAATCTCGGAAATGGGATTTCCAGCATTTTGAGGGACATTGGGAACATTTTTTTTGTGCTAAATTTCTGGAAAAATTGTGCAAAATTCGAAGTGATGGCAAAATTATTGGGGGGGTTATAGCCCCCCTGCTCCGTGGTCCCTGTTCTTAGTTGAAGCCTCGAGTTTGAAGGTTCAAGGCCTGAAATTTCTCTACTGCTATTGATGGGTATAAAGAAATTCTTATTTTGCACCTTATTTGTTCTCTTTATCTGCAAGCCATGTAAGAACCCACCATTAGGCTAATTCACTTTTCTTTGTACAGGGTTTAAATCCAGGACAGTCAATAGCTGAGATCAAAAAGATGATAGCCACACTGAAATCTAACAAGAAGGCTGCTGCACAAGCATAATGCAGACAAATGACCTAGTCACACTAGACCTAAATTTAAAGCTTCAAATGTTATCAATGGTAGTGCCAGTTGTGGTGCATAATTTTATCGTTGTTAATTACTAGTACATAACAGATATATTATTTTGTGCAATGAATTTAATGCATTAGGATAGTCTTCCTTTGTATATTTTAAATTTGTGATGTAGCATTCTTATTAAGCCCAAATTTTTTCTAAAGATGAAAATTTAGTAGTTACTGATTCAGCGAAATGTTCACTAGACCGCAACTTGGTGTAAGGTTAATAATATATAGAGTGATCTTTTTAAAGTTACTCTAAATCTTCATTCTGTTTTTGTTGGAGGTCAATTGTTTTTTTGTTTATCAGTTTCATTATGGATTGCCTCAGCTTAGCAAATAATGTAAATTTTAACAACATTTTGGAGTACTTTGAGTGTGATTGATTACTAATTTTAAAAGTAAATTATTATAAACAGGAGGAATAAATTAAAACCTGTATGATTGAATTTTCTCTTCCATCCAAAGGTCTTTACATCACTAATAGAGGTTTTGCACCAAGTGCTCACACCCATAATACAGTTTGGGCTGCCTGTGGTTAGATGGCAGAACCACTAATAAAATCCCATTGCTCTTTAATTGGGAATTTAGTTTTTTTAATGTAAAATGATTGTATTTGTTCATGCCATCTAACATAAATCCCACCTACCCCTTCAGGATCAAAAAAATGAATGGTCCATAATGAAAGCCAGGGCTGTGTAAGCTGCCTTTCAGTGCTTTGTTCTTGAGTAGAGTCCTTCGTTGATTCTCTTCTGTGCTTTAATCATTTTTCTATGGCTTCATGAGATTTATTATCTTAGAACTCAAGTTTCTTTATAGTTTTTTTTTTAAATTTAATTTGGTCTGGATTCAAATACTGTTGGTGGAGTGTATCCCTTCCCATTGTACAGTTCCAGGAATTATCCAATCCCCCCTCCCATGGAGGAATTTTTTTCAGACCCCTACCTCCAGAAATCCCAATTTTTTTCCATAAAAGCTCTGTAATTTTGTTCTTTCTCTGACCCCCTACCCCTTGGAATTTCCAAATTATCCAGTTTTCAAATGGATTATTTTTTTGGAACTAGTCTAGAAAAAAAGACAAAAGTTGTCACTGCCATGTCACTGCCATACTGGTTGTTATGAGTCCATCAAGTCCATTAAGTCCACCAAGACCAAAWTTTTTGTCAAAGTCTATCAAAATGGTGGTTATGATGTCACAAGCACACCTCGAGCCTTTTGCTGCATGGGATAAACAACCACTCTCTCCRCACCAGCCTAAAATTAGCACATATCTCACTGCTCATCCCATGGCAGTTAGCAAGTGCAACTTAGCATCTGAAAGATATATATAAGATCCACATAACATCTGCCATGTATCGGGTTGAAAGGTCTGTGAATGGGCTACCTGTGTAGATTGCCTTCGCAAAGGAGCATGGTTAACGGCGTGCTTGCCGCCATCTTGCCTTCATGAGTGTTTAAGTCATTTGGTCAGAAATCTTCAATAAGTAACGAAGAAATAATTATTGTCCCTCGTCATCCAAAAGAAACAGCTTAGCATATAACCTTGTCATCTCTGCCTCTTGAAAATTACGAAAAAGTCGAAGGAAGGTGAACTAAAACGACTAAAACATGACGCAGTACGTGCGAGTCACAGAAGATGAAAGCTGTCCAGAACAAGCGATAGAACTCCCCTTAGAACCAGATGGCTCTCTTCTTCTTTCCAACATACAAGGACAGTTTCCAGGAGCTTGTGGTCTGAGATATAGAAGTCCTGATACACAGTCGCTTCGTGCTGTTCGGTTGGCGGAAAATGTGCTCTTTCCACCATTTGATGAAGGATGGGGAAACTTGCTGTTCATGGTCGTCCCGACCAAAATAGGTTTGTAAACATTCGCTTGTCTTCGCTATTTGAAAGCTTCCTGTCTTACTCTGAAGTTAAAATCCTTCATGCATGCTGAAAAACAAAGCCTAAAACGTTACATAAACTTAAACTATAACGAATTTTTTTTTTTCGAAAGTTCATTGTGCTAGTTGAACTTGCGGCTTTCAAAGCTCAAAGTTGTGAATAATTTTGAGTTTGTGACTAGGAACTTGTGTTTGTAGAGTGAACGAAAATCCAGTCCATTTGCACAGGGCTTTTATTGATCTACCATTCCTATCGTATGAGAAACAAAAAAGCCATAGCATCTATGTTGGTAGTAGGCTAGCAAAGACAGCTGCTGTAGGTAGTAAAGGTTGAAATTTTACTTATAGTTATTTTCATGGGTTTCTTAATGTTTTTATTATATCATTTTTTTAAAAATCCATTCATTTGTATGGCAAGGATATAAGATATGCCTGTTTTTTTTTTTAGATTTCCTTGATATTATTTTTCATTTTGAAAAAAAAATTAAGAAATTAAAAAAGAACAAATTACAAAGTAATATGTTCTATATTAATGCACCTATCAGTGTTAAGCACCAGGAGGGGCTACCCTCGGGAAACTGACGTTATTCAATGCCACCACAGTAGGGAATTTTACGTGGAAGCATCTTGAAAAAGCTGGAAAATACAATAAGCATGTGTACTAAGGGTGGAAATTTGACTTTCATCAGTTGTTCAGAGATGGTGAATTTAAAAATTTCGAATTCAAAATGTCAAATTCTCCTGGGGTAGCCTGCCCCTTGCCCCCACCTAGGGGCTCAATATTGACAGGTGCATAAGGTTAGGATAATATGACACCCATGTAAAGACTATTGATGTGATCTATAATCCATGATATTTTTTATCCAGACACAGCAAGCAAGCGTAAAATAGAAGAGTCTCCAACTGGTAAGGAACCAGAAACAAAAATGACCAAAGTAGAAGGCATAGGAGATCTTATCGTACTTGGCCTGCCGTTCCGCACCACAGAGCCTGAGATGAAAGAATACTTTGGTCAGTTTGGAGAAGTGGATTACTGTGAGGTATGTGTAGGAAACTATACTTTATTATTGTGTGTTTGTATGCTGTTACCAAAAAATGTCCTTTATTTGGCTGTCATCCTTTTTTCTAAAAATAAAATGTTATTGGATTTACCACTCCATGTTAGACGGAAAGCCTAACAGGTTTTACAACCCACTTTATAAAACTACGGATATATCAAATTAAAATTTAAAAGTAGATTTTTGTGGAGGGAGTGAAAACTGGAGAACCTGGAGAAAAACCCTCAAAACATAGGAGAGAACCAACAAACAACTTACTTACATACAACAGAACTCGAGCCTGGCAGAACTCAAACCCAGGTTTTCTTGGTGAGAATACTAGTTTTATATTTTTATTGTTATTGTGGGCATTTTTTAAATTTTATCTGGACAATTTTCGCAAGCTTCATGACACCTCAATTTTGCAGTGACATCATTTCTATGTCACTATGAATAGTGATCTGAAATTTCAGCTCAGCAGGTTAATATTGTGACTTATTATATGACCGTGAATCTTGGAGCCTGGACACTAGCAAATCRAGCAATCTGATTGGATAGATTGCATCGGGGACTGGTCTAGATTCTCCGGTATTAACCGGTCCGATTGCATATTAATCTTATGGCGAAAACATTTTGTCCTTTTCAATGAAAAGTGGTCATATAATAAAACTCTTATCAACCGAGCTTGGTTGGTCTGAACYGGATAATCTTGACCTCGGTCTGTACATTCTGACCTCGGTCAAGATTATCCCGTACAGACCTCCCGCTCGGTTAATAAGATCTGATTAACACTATCTTAGTACCAGCATAGATCATTCATTACTAGTATTCTTGCCTTTCTGTACCTCATAGTGCCTTGCAATCTTATTTTACTTTCAGGTAAAATGCGATCCTGTAAGCAAAAAATCAAGAGGGTTTGGTTTTGTAAGATTTGTAAATGATGAAGATGCCAAAAATGTATTATCCTCTTCACACAAAATTCAAAATCGTCTTTGTGAAGTCAGGCTTCCAAGACCAAAGGTAAGAACAAAAGACACACAATAACTCTGTAGTACAGTCTGCTAAAAATAGATCATGTCTGCAAGGCACTGACTTGCAGTTTGTAAGATATACATTTTACTGCATGCCATAATATTTCAGTTACAGTATGATTCTTTGCAATGCTGCCTCGCACAGGACTTTAAATGGTGGCTGGTCAGTCGCGGGTCAAGATCACCAGCCAAATTGGGTTTACATTAGTTTGGTCATAGCTTGACAATAGCCAGCAGCCGGCAGATTCCGCCATCTACTCTTGCTAATTTGGCCGCCTACTCAGCCAATTCTCAATTCTCTCACTAACTCGGCTGCCTACTCGGCCACTTCCCAATGTAATTGAAAACTTGATTAAAGTTGATTAAATGTGTTGAAATCTTGATTAAACTAGCAAAATGCATGAATAGAATAAATTTTAACCCAATCTTTGTTGCTGTACTACGAAAACTGCAATGCAATCAAAACTACAATGATCGTTGTCCACCATCTTGGATTTTTTGTGAGAAGAGTGAGAAAGGTGACAAATATGCCTTGATTACATGTTCCAGTGATTTCCGGTTTACCGCCTAGTTTAATTTCATAACAGCCTACCAAAATTTATATTGACAACCCTGTACAGGTATGGCTTCCAAATAGCCTTGTTCTTTAAAAAAGATTATTTGTATTCCAAGATCCTTACTAAGCTGCTTATTGTTTTCGTATGTTTCAGGAAGAGCTGAACATCCCTAAAAAGCTCTTTGTTGGCCGTATCCCAGATGGAGCAGCAGAGAAGGAACTACAAGAATATTTCAGCCAGTTTGGAGAACTAACAGATGTCTACATCCCAAAACCAAACAGAAATTTTGGATTTGTAACCTTCGCATCTGGTGAGATTGCCAAAAGCGTAGTCAGCCAGAACCATCGTCTTCATGACAGTCTCCTCAATGTATCATTTGCTGAACCCAAAGCTAATTCCATGCGAGGTGCAGCAGCCTCTGGGTACCCAATGGGCATGGGCTATGACATGTGGTATTCTGGTAGTCGGCAAGGGGGAGGGAGTGGTTATAATGCTAATGCTGCATCGGCTTATAATATGATGAGCATGATGGGCCAGGGGATGCCAGGTATGATGGGCAGTGGTACTACCAACAAAACATGGTCAAGAGGGGCTAGTCCTGGTAGTATGGCCAGGAAATAAGAAAGTTATCAACATTATATAGAAAGACTAGAGGCTGTACTTGCCTTCATCTATGATAAGCACATCTTAACTTGGTTAAAAACATTTTAAAATGTTCCAATTGATCTTGCATTAACTAGAAATAGAAAGTTATTTTTACGCAGCAAACGTGAAGAATAAATGTTGAATGTTCTGAAAGTAAAGGATGGTCTGGAGTGTCTTGTGTAGAGAATGCAGAAGATGCGTTATTAATATTATTTTATAGTGATCTTTTCCTGAATTCGCTTGTTGGGTTTCGCTTGTAGTATAGCCATGGCTTTGATATCTTAAAAAGAAATTGGCGTGGTATGGAAATTAGGATGGCAGAAAAACACTGCATACTTTTAAATCCAGACTTAAAACTTTTCTTTTTAAGATCTATTTTCTTTGAACATTTATCTCTATGCTTTCATTTTTAATATTTCTTATTCTCTACTTTCACATCCCCATAATACTTTGCGTCTTTGGGGGGTAACCAGAGGGTAAAAACCCACTTATTTTGCTGAAGGCTGATCAGACAATGTTGACAATACCTTGTTTGGTATCCAAAAATAAAATGAAGAAGTAAAAAAACAGAAAAAGGTAGAAGCTTGAAGACGTTTAAGGTAAATTTTAAACATTTTTTTGTAAGTCAATACATTTTCAAAACTCTTCATGATCTTTACACGCAAAAATAACTTGGAATAAACTGATAATCAGTATTGTACAGATAAAAGCAGGTATAGTATAAATGCAATTAAGAAACCTTTCAATTTGGGGCCTTTTTTTGATTGGTTACCCACCAAAGACGCAAGGTATTATGGGGATGTGAAAGTAGAGAATTGCCTTTTACATTTTTGTAAACACATAGAGATTTGATATGCATGCCAAGCATCTTTTATTATCATTATTTCAAAAAAAAATTTATACGTTTTCTTTTCACTGAAAATTTTTAGTATGTGTGAGGTAACAAGAGAAGAAAAGTTATAGAAATGCCCCAGCTGATTTCCCCTTTTGAACTCAAGAATATAAATAAGTAAAGTGGGATTGGTTCTTAGCAAAAAGGATCTGCCAACCATCCCTTTTAAGCTTTCCAATGTTAAAAAAATAATTGTATATTTTTCAATAATGTTTTGAGAACCATGCCTGTACAGAGAGGTACTGTATTTAACTTCTGCAGTGTGGGATACAGCTTTGACTAGAGAAGTGTGGGCATGCAGGCTATGTCAACTAACTGAAACCATGTGACGAAACTAATGAGAAATTGAATGAAGTAAATGAAAGACTACCAAGTTGTATGCCTGAATGAATCTGGACCTTAATGGGTACTTTGTGACCAAAAAGAGTGAAGCAATGCTGGTGTGATCTTTTTACGTCGTGTACTGTAACCTGCAGACTAGGAAATTTATCATTTTTTTTGAATGCCCGAAAGTGTTTGGATGTTTCCTTTTTGACGGAAGAGAGTGAAACTGGTGGTGTGTCCTTACCTTGTGAACTGTACTCGTGAGAAAGATGTAACACTGTGGAATGGAGTGAGTAAAAGACTACCATTGCTGTCTACACAATGACAAGTTGTACTGTATGCCTGAACAAGTACGGATCTTGGTGTGTACGTTTTTGACTGATGAGAGTGAAGCAATATTGTTGTGTCCTTGTATTAATGCCAAGTCTGAATAGAGTGAAAACACTACCATTGCATTCTACATGACAAGTTGTATTCTTAAATATGTCTGGATCTTGAGTTTTTTTGATGAGAAAAAAGGAATGGTGCAGCTTAGACAGTGAAACTCCTTGCGTTTTTCTTTAAAAGTTATAGAACAAGATACATCACAAACTAGGCTGAAATATGTACTTTCCAAAAAGAGATACAGTGTTCGTGGAAAAAGAGTGAGAAAATATACCAGAGTGATCTGCGAGAAATATATCTCAAACAAGACACATGGTGTGGCATCCTATTCCTGAATGGTGAATATACTTGATGAAAAAGATTTAACCAGTTCAATGTTATTCAACCCTGAGAAGATACAACATTATTGGTGGAAGAGAGAGTGAAGGTTTACCAGAGAGTGTTCCATGAGAAAGGTATAATGGTACATGTTGTATGGTCCGAGGCAGAGTAGAGAAGAGTACTGTCAAGTTTGTGTAAGTATTAAAAGAATGGTGAGGTCAACGAATGCTGTGTATTCTAGAGGACAACTTGGTGTGTTCCCAGAAGAGTTGTAACATATTGTAGTAGCGAGATGACAGAAACTGTCTGGAATGATCTGTAAGTACTTGACAATGAGATGGTTGTGCTTTTGTGGAGCGAATTATCAAGGCTTCTAAATAGACATCTCTTTTAAAAAAATATTAATTTTGATTCAGTGATTGTTTTAATTGTAGGTATCAAAAGTTATGACATAATAAGCCTGAAGTGAGATGACATTTTACCCCCGTCTCTAGACCATGATCCTTTTCACACTGCTTTTGTTCTTTAATTATGACTTGTTCCTGTATTCCCTAAGGAATCAAAAATTTTATATGAAAGAATCTTAAAAACTATTATGGTATGGAGTCGGGGGTAAAACGTCATCTTGCTTCAGGCTTATTTTTGGGTTAAAAACCCACTTTAAAAAATTTAGCTGTAAGGAAGTTTGGATGACAGAGCAACAATATTAATTTTTTCTTTGTATCAGTTGAAGATCTGTTAGTTGTGTTGCAGTATTTTACGTATTGTGTTTTTGGTTTTTCTAAAATCTGTTTCTGTTTTTAGGTTAAGCATAATGAAAAGTGAACCAAGTTATGCTTGGAACATCCAAAAAGTAGTGCCTCAAAATGTTCAGATAGCCATTGTGCAGGTAAGTTAATATTACACACTCATTTGCTTGAGGTTAGCTGCATTTCAGCCTCAAAATATTTACAAATGCCAATGGTAAAGAATAGGCAACTTCAACAATAAAAAGCACTTTGAATTTCTAGAATCTGCTACTGGAACACATGAATATTCTACATAATTTTGAGGATAACCCTGAGCAACACAATTTGAAACTGGAATATTTCCCCCCTAAAAATCTTTTTTTTTCTTTGACATGTCAGGTTTTTTGGTTTTGAAGATGTTTACAAATTGTACAGGGGTTTCTGTACAGGTATATAGATATTACGATCAAGGTTTCATTGAGCACAAGGATTGAAATTAACTCTTTATAAATAAAGAAATATTAAAACATTCTTTTCCCCCACAGTTGTGTAAACAATCTCAATGACAGTGCAGAAAGTGCCTCCTCAGTTGCTGCTGCCTTGAAAGAACTCATCTTGGTAAGACTTCTCATATTAACGTTTTACCACATAACCAATTACTGTGGGGCCTGTCGTATTAGCAAAGGCACTGAAAATGGTCATCACCAGCATCTTCAATGGGTCTTTTAAGTCCGCCTTATACAGGGTTATATATTGAAGACAGACGGGACCTATAGTTTTAAATCCTTGTCAGAGAAGACTTGAAGGTCTAACCATTTGTAGATGTAATTACAAAGGCTGCACCTTCTCCTCACTTATTTTAAGACCCTGAGTGTTGGTCCGGCCAAGACTTGAACCACGACCTCCCTCACAACAGACCCACACTCTTACCAACTGAGCTACCATATTTTTATTTTTTTTTAATTTTCAGAAGGACAATATATACAATGTCATTTAATGGATCATCGTGTTAATATGAAGAAGATATTGGTGGCATGCTACAATGGCTGAACCTCAAGCTACCCAATTAAACATGTTATAACGATAGACAGTTACTTTGAATAAGCCTCGGGAAAGACTACTTTATAGGATTAAGAATGATGTAGCTCTCGTGTCTTACCTCTGAAGCCTTTGGTTTTATTCATGTAGTAGATACAATATGTGAGCAGAACTGTTTGGTATAATTACCCCTTATTTTGATAATTATTCTTAGGTTCTCTTGTTTTTCTCACTCCACAAAACCCAAAGCTAAATTCCAATTTGATCTGTGAGTCAGCCATGTCCTGACTTGGATCAACCCAGAGGTTGTTTCAGGGTTCAATCTGTGAGTTAGCCATGTCCTGACTTAGATCATCCCAGAGGTTGTTTCAGGGTTTGATCCATGAGTTAGCCATGCCCCAACTTAGATCAACCCAGAGGTTGTTTCAGGGCTCAATCTGTGAGTTAGCCATGCCCTGACATAGATCAGCCCAGAGGTTGTTTC